AATGTTATGGTCCATAATTGGTTGTATGTAACTACTAACTGATGTCTAATGGTATGGTCCATAATTAGTTGTATGTAACTACTAACTGAAGTCTGATCTTACGGTCCGTAACTACCAACCGCAGTCTGATCTTAGAACCCTACCTCATGCAGAACTGCTGCTACTACTGCCCAAGTTCAAGACTAGTCGTCCAGAAACCTACCCTACGAAGAAAGTGACTGGCATCTAATAAGGTAAAAATGTCCAAATCACATGTTCAAAATAACTTACAAATAGCTTACTTTTATAATAAGTTAAACCACAAGTGCACCACCTGTTACCAAATATATTAGTGAGAGAAAGACAAACTGCAGAAAATGCGCGAGAATACCCAGCACGTGAGAATTGGAAGTTTGCTGAAACAATGGACGACGTACGGGTCTATTGACGGTCTGCAACAAGAAAATGGCGGTCTGTTCTGACCATGCGATACGGTAAATATAACGATGGTTGCTTATTTCTTAAACTCCATAGAGTGTACAGTGGAATAAGGTGATTTCTTGTTCCAGCAGAAAGTATTGACACCAACTGTTCCAAATGGAATTACTGCACTCTATGGCTATAATGTTACACATCCAAGACCACTGCAGTGTTATCTACGAACCATGGGTAACGCAATACATCCAAAACCACTGCAGTGTTATCTACGAACCATGAATAACGCAATAAGTCCAAGACCACTTCAGTGTTATCTACGAACCATGGGTAACGCAATACATCCAAAACCACTGCAGTGTTATCTACGAACCATGGGTAACGCAATACATCCAAAACCACTGCAGTGTTATCTACGAACCCGTATTGCGTTATTCATTCCAAGACCACTTCAGTGTTATCTACGAACCATGAATAACGAAATTAGTTTTCATACTGCTCCGACTTTCCTATGAACACGATGGCCGGTGTTAAATTTAACCAAATGTGTGGTCTAAGATTAACCTGACTGATCTTGGAAGAAGCTAGTGACAATGGGAATAGAAATGTCAGACGATAGCGCGTAATCTTGACGATCATATAAAGTTCAGAAACGACTGAGAAAGTGGCTAACACCATGTTCTAAGAATGAAAGAAGCTTGTTACAATGGGAATAGAAATGTCAGACGATAGCGCGTAATCTTGACGATCACATAAAGTTCAGAAACGACTGAGAAAGTGCCTAACATCATGTTCTAAAAATGAAAAAAGCTTTCACGCATATTTTTGGATTCAAATACTATGTTACACATTTATTTACTAGCTACGAACTTCCTACTTATATCTTGGCTTTACATCTTTATATCACTTCTAAAAAACGGGGTTTAAACGTTTCGAAGCGGTTCACGAAGAACACGTTTCAATACCAAGCTGTGTACACGTGGAATAGTCAACTTTACAAGTTGTCATTTTTATTTTATTTATTTTAGCTTATTTCTCCCACGTGGCGATTCTTGATCGTAACATGTGCTGAAACCACCTCAAAACTGGTTCGTTTAAATAGTAACGTGTTAATAGTGTTTTTAATCATATTTTTACGTACAAGAACCGTTTAAGATTCATATTTTAGTTTTTTAATGTTTGCAAGCTGTAACCACTAAATACGTGCGATTAGTGAATGAATCACGTGACTATGTTACTTTTTTACTATAATATTAATTAATTTCACCTCATTCTTACAAAAATTCTGCATCTGTATAAACCTACTCACTCGAAATTCCCCGTTGTTTCCATCGTCAAGCTGCAATATATAGCCTTCCACAAAACTAGCCGGCTGTGGCTGCCACGCTATAGTAATACAATTATTTTCTGCTATACACTCCTCGGGTATCGTCACTGGCCGAACTGGAGCTAAAAACAAATTATTTCAATAGTTACACAACAGCAATAGTGAGTGTTTTCACTTCTCTGACGTTTCACTGTTAGCAGCTATGGTTATCTAGAAATCTTCCAATGTTCAAAGTGACTGATTTAACGTTACAAATACGAAAGCTAACTACTTTTACTTGGTAGAGATGTTCAAAGTGACTGATTTAACGTTACAAATACGAAAGCTAACTACTTTTACTTGGTAGAGATGTTCAAAGTGACTGATTTAACGTTACAAATACGAAAGCTAACTACTTTTACTTGGTAGAGATGTTCAAAGTGACTGATTTAACGTTACAAATACGAAAGCTAACTACTTTTACTTGGTAGAGATGTTCAAAGTGACCGATTTAACGTTACAAATACGAAAGCTAACTACTTTTACTTGGTAGAGATGTTCAAAGTGACTGATTTAACGTTACAAATACGAAAGCTAACTACTTTTACTTGGTAGAGAATTATTTTCAACCATGGTTTCCAAAAGAAATGTTCGTATATTTTTCTGAACCGAACGTTGATAGCTCAAAACAAAAACCAGAGATGTATTATTGTTAGTTACAAATACCCTTTGACTTGCGAACTGTAAAATTCTCCGATATTTGTACTGTTTGTTCTTTAGTAATCAAACCAAAACATTTAAAAAAAAAAATGGCAAACGAAAGATTAGGCTGATAATTTAAATCGCATATAAAACGCGAGATTAGAAAACACAACACAGCACACAGGTTAAAGATACAACATACAAACAGAGAACCAAAACGTACGTGAAAAATGTGGCAAACAAAAAAAACCTGCAAACACGTCTAAAATACGGTTTATCACGTCTTCAATGTGGGATTACTTACGTTTCATTTGGGTAAAGGTCATTTGCTGGATAGACTCTAAGACGGACTGGTGGTCAAGAGTTAGGTTGAATTGGTGAGAAAGCCATGGAGTGTTGCCAACTTCTTTGTGCCACTTTACGTCCTGATACGACACTCGGTTTGTTAACGAATTCCCAATCTACATACGATAAAAATAATCAGTAATTACAATTTTTACAAGAAAGAAAAGCATTTGTTACGAACAGTTTTTAAGAATTTTACTGCAGTAAAGACAAGGAAATAGAAATAAATTGTTTTTTTGAGCCATTTTTTGTACGTCTAGAAAAATAATTCGGTCAGAGACAACTTTTACCTATAAAAAAGTTGTGAAGCTAGAAACACGTTTTTACCTGAAGGAAAGACGCTGGGTCGGTCTCTTTTAAAGCTTCTATACAGAACTGGAGAAGTCCCGTTGTCTGCTGAAGTTTGGTAGTACAAGAAGTTATCTGGTCGCGGAGTGTCTTGATCTTGTGGTCTCGTTCCTGTCTGGCGAATTCTAGTAGCTGTTGTTTCCTAGTGTGAACGGCCTTAATCAACAGATCGCATTGGGAGCTTATTGTGGCTTCAAACTCAATACAGTTGTCCTGGAAACGTTAGAAAAATACTCTTAAACAATGGTGCACTACAAGCAAGTTAAAATGTATACACCTTTGTATTTTAATTTCTGTACATGTCCTTGTAGAATCAGAAACCTTTCAATGTTCTGATGTTAAATGCTGATAAAATTTACTGAAACATTATGATATATTATAAGCGTTTTACTTTACAATCCTAGTTGTTATAACGAATTTAAGTCGCTAGAAGTATTAAAAACATTTTAGAGAATGTTTCTTATTTGCCATATGAAGCCTTCAATCCAATACCAGAACTGGACAAAGTCCATAAAAAATACAATATGTATGCATTACAAAAAATCCCCAGTGGCACAGCGGTATGTCTGCGGACTTCCAACGCTAGAAACCGAGTTTTGATACCCGTGGTGGGCAGAGCACGGATAGTCCAATGTGCAGCTTTGTGCTTAACTTCAAACAAAACACTACAAAAAGTTATTGTACTAAATGATATTACAACCAATGATATGAAACCCATTAGGAACGGACTAACTAATACAACTGACAGTCAGAACTCACAAACGTTTCACTTTAGTTTGACATTAGAGAACAGAAACAACGGTGTGTTACGACTTCAGTCTAAAACTACTAAAATTATTCAACTGTTAAACTCACAAACGTTTCACTTTAGTTTGACATTAGAGAACAGAAACAACAGTGTGTTACGACTTCAGTCTAAAACTACTAAAATTATTCAACTGTTAAACTCACAAACGTTTCACTTTAGTTTGACATTAGAGAACAGAGACAACGGTGCGTTACGACTTCAGTCTACAACTACTAAAATTATTCAACTGTTAAACTCACAATCGTTTCACTTTAGTTGGACATTAGAGAACAAAAACAACGGTGCGTTACGACTTCAGTCTAAACTCCTAAACTTGTTAAACTGTTAACTATTTCATAAAAGTATCTGAGAATAGACACTACCTAACACCAATGATCAAAATATTGTAATAAAAATAATAATGTGAAATATGGATTAAATACTTTAAAAATACACTAACCATAACAAGTCGTACTTACTGGTACTTTCTCGACCATGCTCTTCAGATTATGGATGAACTCTGTAGTTCCTTTGGCCTTTTCAGACAGCGCCTGAAGATTATGAGATAGCTCCGTCTGGTGAGGAAAATACCAAACATTAAGTTTTAAAGACAATAGCAAAAAATTAAGAATTGTCTTGTCAAACACAAAAAGACTATAATCAGGTTTACGTAATATGACAATATGCGGTAATCTTCGCTGATATTATTTCTCAGATACAAACCTTTTTATACAAAATATAATCTACAGGCAACATATTGTTGCGTCATCGAGTCACATGACTACTGTGACGCAACGTTTCTAGAACTATCATGTACTTTGGCGAATGCTCTAGTGTTTGCTAGATGGGGTAGGCGGGTATATATAAGAGGGGAAAACGTGACGCGGGAGATGATGGTAATGTGTGTATAGAC